GCTGGCGAGGAGTAACTACGAATTTGACTCCAGTGCATCAGTGTGCGGTAACCATAGAGCAGCTGAAGGGGGTAAACCCCTGGGACTGTGAGGTTTTTCACTCAATGGTGGCTAAGCTGTTTTCACTGAGAGTGACTAGAGATGACACTGTTTTCCAGAAATTCACAAGTTACCCCAAAAGTTAGTTTATCCCTCTTTAAAAAATAATGTATCACCTTTATGATGCTTGTGTAATTCTGTGGAATGCTTAAGATAATGACTGTGAGCTCGATTTAGGGCTTAGAAGAGAATAATACTACATACCAGTGCACACAAGCTGATTTGGGACTCTCCATAAAAATAGCACTATTTATACACTTAGCTGCCTCTGTGATTTAATGGTAGAGCCACCCACCTCATATGCAAAACCATATAATTATGACTATGGCATCAATTCATTAATCAAAATGACAGAGGGTCTCATGATCAAACGAGAGAGGTTCTGGTACTTCTAATGACAGCAGTCCCTGTGATACTGCCATACTTGATCCATTTGTGATTGAACTGGAAACCAGCTATTTTCTATACTCAACGGAATTCTGATTTATTATGTGCTTGAAATTACTGTGGATTTCTATTAAAGACAAACACTTGGCAGTAAGGTACCATACTTACCTGTAATTTAGTTATGTAACAGTAGTATCCTCCATAGACCTCACATCCTTTGGGGTTTTTTGTTTTTCAGATATGCAACTTTCAGAGCCAACGTGGCATTTTTTAAGAGTTTGGCCTTCTTCCTGAGGCCCTAAGCAAACCTCAAGCCATGAAGGAGCAGGGAATTTATAGAGGCCTGCACAGACTCAATCAGCAGTTTCCTTTCCACTGACATCCACAGGAAGCCAGCATGTATGGAAAGATGGGGGCATGCAGACATCGACAATTACAGATAGGCCACTTTTCCCACATTTGGAAATGTACAGCTCAAGGCTACCTATTTAGTTAGTGTCTTTAATGCATGGGAAACCTCTAGTAGCTGGCAGATTTTTTCTTTGAGAACTTTATTCATTTATTCTGTTACTCGGCATATGCCATGGTAAAGGATAGCTGCAAGATGACAAAAAGGGCCAAAGTATACGACATTTTAGGTGAAGTTGTAATGTTCAAAGATGGTAAGAACATTTCTAGTTGGTAAGTGTATCACTTTAAAATATGCTTTGTGCCTCAGATATTTTAGGTATACTCATAGACACAGCTACTAAAATAAAGCTTTGAAGGATGACATACAAGCTCATATGGACTCATACATTCACTTAACTTACTTACATGTTCAGAAGATGATATGATCTCCTCTAAAAAGAATAAATTTATGTTCCATTGACTGCAGCATGTTAATTCATTTTACTTGTGCATTCGTAACCTGTTTAAAGAGACTTATTTCTGACTCAGTCTTTAGAAAGACACCCCCTGATATCAACTGGCTGAGGATTACTTACAGGGCAAAAACTACTGACTCAGAACCCATCTAGAAAAAGAAGCTCCAAATTTAGGAGATTGAGATAGAAAGAGGTGACATACCCTTCCTCAATTGTAACAGAATTCATGATGATGCAGTTTGTTATCTTAACTTTGTCTTTTATGGTACACATGCTGCCGATGATGGAGTGTTTAATGGATGTCTTCTCCCCCACTTGTGTGGATGACCCAATGATGCTGTCCGATCCAACCTAGGGAAGAAGAGAATGGAAATCAGCAAAAGTACCCAGAGCTGTCTGATATGTGTTCTCCGTACACCTCTTCCAAACAGTATGTCTCAAGTACTCACCAACAAAGCATATCCTGCTCTACCCTTATGCATTCTTGGCAGAGGAAAGATCTAGAAACGTGAGGCCCATCCCATAGTCAGACAATTGGACAGTCTTCCCAAGGTCCATTATCTTGGTAAAACTCCATTAGTTAGTCTGGCTCTGCAGGCCTCATGCCATAAAATAAGCATAGTGAAAACAGTCCTGATGGTACTTTGCTGGTTTCACTAAAGTTTGGCCAGCAAGACCTGTGAAAATGAGGCTTGAAGCTGCTATTCAAGCAAAATGCTCTAGCAAGAAGCAGAGCTAAAACACTGACCCCTTGTAAGTATGGTGTCCTTTGGGAGGAAAACTGCTCAACTGTTGTGAACTGCTATTAGGAAACAAGGGACTAGTGACTTGGGAACAAGATAGACTTTTACCATTTTCAAAGATCAAGACTCTGGGCTGTGTCACCTACACTGTAATTCCACACTTCAGAACTCAGCTTCACTTCCAACAGCAGAACTCAATTTTAGGAAGCAATTCTTAAAGCAAAGAGCATGTAGACTGTATTAAAAGAGCAGATATGGGAAAAGGGAACACTTACCATGCCTCTGTCAGTGATCTGTGCTGACCCATGAACCAGTGGCTCTTCCAGACCCAGGTTAAGCAATAGCTTGGGAACCTAGATGGAAAAACCCACATCACAAGTTAACATGACAGTTCTGTACCCTCGTCTTAAATAAACAGTTCAAAGATGGCTTTGGTTTCCATTGCACTAGTGCATCAACCATAAGTATTTTAACTTAAAGGAAAATGTAGGTTCCTGCATTTTAAATCTGCAGCCAGATATGTGTCATTTACCATCTTCCCCTTTTGTAAAGGAGACAGGTACACTTCCAGTACAGTGCACACTGCATGTCTCCTCTCAACTCAGCTTCCCACCTGTGGAGAAGCAGTAGATCAGCAGCAGCAAGCCCGCTGCCTCCAGTTGAACACAGTGATATCCTGTTCATTACTACAGTGTCCAGCATCTGCCATTTCAAATGCAGATCAACGTGGTTTACACTGTTCAGTAACGCATGAGAGGGAAGCAAGTGGAATTAAATACAAATCAGTAAACAGGCACAGAAAGATGACTGTGTTCAGCCCTCTCAGTAAGGCAGTAAGCTGAAGTAGAGGCAACAAATAGTATTTCAGATGTTTAACCAGAAACTGAAGTTGATCAAGTGGCTATTCCAGATGGTAGAAAGTTGCAAAAAAAAAGGCTCTTGACAGAGAGAAGGCAGGTGTTAGATAAGCAGACAAAGCACGATGGTAATAGAGAGAGACACAGCCCATGAGGTAGCCAAGAACAAATCCACGGAGAGCAATTCTGAACTGGCTCCTGAAAAGAAAGAGGAGCCAGTATTGTAGGAGGATGGGATATCACTCCATCATTCCTCCTTTTCTGGGTGAAAGAGCAGCCCGAGGCATTCTGCATCTCCTGGCGTCAGGCTGGGGCCAAGGTCACACACCACAGAAGAGGTGATGACAGCATGGGTGGGGATTTCAGGGGAGGTGGGAGTCTCACAGCAGTACACAGATACACTGCTGCTCAGCGTTACTTGCAGCAGTGATGCAATGTATGATGCACCCTGGTAGGATAGAGATGGCAGTCAAAGAAACACAGGAGATACAGAGCCAGCCAGGATGCACACACTAACTGTCCATCTGGGATGTCAACTGGAGTCTCAGCACAGTGATGGTGTAACTGGGTTTGCCTGAGGGGAGGAAGTAGCACTCATTAAGTCTCTCTTTTCTCTACCTAGGCACCTATTTTTACAAAACTCTTAGGAAAGTTTATCTTTGAGATCTCTATTGCTCTGAGATTTATTTGGCTGAGAGTTGCCAGCAATTTCCAAAGCTGCTATGAAGAAGCTGCCATATAGTAACGATTGTGTAAAACAACTTCCTTAGAAAGCTGGGATAACAAGAGCTGATGGCTAGGGAGTGAACTTCAAGAAGCAGATCCCACAGATCTGAAGCTGGGATCAGATCAGAAAAAAATATCTCAAGATCTCAAATGAGATGATATTTGCAGGAAATTGTTTGGATATTCATAATATGACCAGCCCATTTCTCTTCCAGCATGTGAGGATAGATAAACAGCACTGGTTTTCCTATACGAATTTTCACAGTTGATGCTTCATTCAGATGAGTGAGATGAGCTCAGATGAGCTCACACCTCTGAGCTATCATTTGAGGCTGCTTGTTGTCCCCAGAAGACATTTCTACATTCATAGCTCTTTACATCTTGAAAATGGTCCTTCCCACTAGATATGTGTTTTCTTTGTTCTTGAAAAACCAAGAATGGGTTAGATCCTTCAAGTCCAAAGTTGCAGGCACTACAGAAAACCACCAGCTTACCAGAACACCACAAATTAGGCCAATTTGCCTGGATGATGCTGGCTTGTTGAAGGGTTGTTGTCCTCACCTGACACACAGCTAGGCATCACAACAGATAGATTCGGAGAGGAACACACACCAAAGCATACCTACAGCATAGGCTGGAAAGGTTCCTACTACCCAGTGTTGCTCTGTGGGAAGGGAAAGAAATGAGGAAAAGGTCTCACCCTCCTCAGTGGAAAGACGGTGTAGTGAAATAAATAAAGGATTTTACTGGCCAGAGCAAAGCCCTTATTAGAATCAGTCAATGGATGTGCAGCCTGAGGGGTAACCCAAGAAAGCTACCAGCTCAAGCATTTTGCTCTGAAAAGGAAGGTTAGATAGGGGGCAGGAGTCAGAGGGAGTGCCTGGGTCAAGGGAAGGTTTAAGATGTGTTTGGATTTAATTCATCTTACAAAGAAACTATTTCCTGCTATTGAAGATAACTCCCTCCTGAACCCACCTGCCCACACACAGGCTGCAGGCATCCAGAAACCCAGCTGGAACTGAAATGCTGTGAGCAAAGTGTTTCCTCACCAGAAGGGCAATGGGTTAGGATGCCATTCCTTCCTGCGGCTACTGGACTGGACTGCTACTGCTCCCTCCATGAGTCTGTCCTCTTGGACAGCAAAGTTATAGGTCCTGGCTTTGCAGCAAGGGAATCAGAATCTGGTCTGTGAAGACCAAGATAAGAGCAAACAAGACACAAAAAACTCTTCCTTAGAGACTGTCAAAACAGGTAAAAAAAAGCAGGTAAAATTAAATGTGTAGCTTTTATGAGGATTAGCAAGAGAAACAAAATTCAGTGACACTGAAAAAAAAGGAACTCCTTTCTCACAACCCCTCATTAAGCTCTATTTTATGTTTTACCTTCACATAGTTTCCTTAGAAATTTTACCATCTTGGAAAAGCAAGAAATTCAAAGAAAATCCTTTGCAGCATTGAAGGCCCCAGTGTGATTTCAAAACACTAATTCTGTGTACCACCCAGGAGCAAACACATTTCCTGGACTGACCAAAACGTAGAATATTTAGGTTAAAAAGAAAAGAAAAAGAAAAGAAAAGAAAAAACTGAAAAAAAAACCCAACACAAAAAAACCCACATGGAGTCTGACTGGCTTAACTCAATAACTTTTTACTGAAGTGGCTGCTGCCAAATGTATACGCACACTTCCCCCAGCAAGCGGTGTTCTCCCTTAACCCTTTGGGCACACTCACTCCTGATATTCTGGGGGAAGGTTTTCCTTTCCGACAGCAGTGCTCCTCCTCTCTTCCTCATGTCCCTATCACTTTATTTCTGTGCTCCTCTACAGGCAACGAGGAGAAAGAGCTCCATGTGTAAACTCACTCTGCCATGCTGCAATTTGAATTTGCATAAATTCATCCATTCGTTTGATTAAAAAGGAATCAGCTCAATCTGAGAGCAAAGGCAAGGCAGTGACCACTTCCAGGATCCCCAGTACAACTTTATTGCTCTCCCAGCTCCACTTCCAGAAATCCTGAGTCCTTCCCTACTGCACTCCCTATTGATCTTTCAAAACTAGATGAAACTGTCCTCTAGCTGAAGCAACGAAGTCCACCACTAGCACAGTGAAGTGAGAACTTACATATTGCATAAGCCAGTGTAGTAAATAACCTGAAATAACCTCCCCCTCATATTAAAAGCTTTTAATCATCAGCTCATTAGCTAGTACAGGATTTCTGTAATTCTCCCCTGTGATCTTTTCTTTTATGAATTTTTGGTAGTGTCAAAGTGAAAGCTGCAGCAGGTCAACATTTCACCTCTGTGTTTACCTGGAGTGCCCCTGTAGTGAAACCTCTTCATAAAATAATTCTTTCAGAATGGAAAGCGTTAGGCAATTCAGAATGAAAGGCAATTTGAATGTATGGGCAGTTTAAGTCTTCCTGCAAATCATTAGTAACCTTTGTCATTATCACCAAGATAAATATCCATTAGGAAGAGTCCAGTCAGAACTGATCTTGCCTTTAGCACATGGAGGACATTGACTAGATGAGCTATCAAAGCTACTTCCAGCCTTATTTTCCACAGTTCTTGGCTCTTTGGCTGCAGGTCTTGCCACCCTCAAAACCCAGAAGAGTGTGTGGGGTGGGGGTTTTCTTAGCGATATCAAAGCTATGGAGTAAATTAGTGACAGAATTGTTTCCTGGCTTCATGTCCCTATCCAGAAACCAGTAGGGTGATGTGCCTAGATAACATGGCCCTGGTTCAATTCCCACACATTCCTCAGCTGTGCATTCCTGGAGGCTGACATGTCCCATAAACTACTGCTGTATTCCCACATGGCAGTTCTGTATTTTTCTCACCTGTCGGTTAGCTTCAATATACAAGCCAAGAGTATTCACTCGGTAGCACAGTCCCTCTTTCATTATATGGACGTAGCAGCGCACTTTTCCTTCATGGAGAGTTTCATTCATATCTCCTCTATGATCATTCCAACAAGAGTTATCTGCAGCAGGTTTCAGCAAGCTATTATCTTCTTTTATGAAACTATAAATGTCTGGAGAACACACACATGCATAAAGTTAGACAGGATTTAATGAAATGCTTTCTGAAGAGGAATACCATTAAAATACTGTTGGTGAAGGGAAATCTTTGCCTCACATCATCTGAATGGCTAGATACTTAGCAATCATTAACAGATTTTATCACATGTAGAGTGAGTAAGTGCTTATTTTTATTCTGCAGGTGCGAACCAAGGCATTAGGACAGATGCAATGTTTTGCCCAAGGTCACACAAGGAGACAGTAGAAATGCTAAAAATAAATTCCAAGATCTGAGATCCTGCCCAGTTCCCAGTGCAGGGTAGTTAAGGCTTAGTCTGTTGTCCCACACAATTCAGGAACTCTGTCCTCCTAAAATCACATTTTCAAAAGTGCATTTACCTATACTATATTCTAGAAGAAAAAATACAGAGCAGCTAGTGGATTTGGTTTCACTTTACACCAAAATAATGCAGGACAAAAATATTTATATAACGCACAATATTGTTTGAAAAAGGAATCTTTGCTATCATGAAGTATAACAGAAAAACCCCAAATCCCTAAACTAATGTTTCAGGCTAATTGAGTACTCTATCCAGTAATTCAGCTGTAGCATATAGGTTTTAAAACCATGCAATCTTTGATACTTGTACTGACCTAGGGATGCTTGTTCTTTTTTCTTTTGGTCCTCTTCTCTGTTGTCTAGTCCTTGCTGCAATGATGTAGGAGAAGAGAACTGTTTCCTAACCAGATGTGGAATCAGTTCACTCCGGAGAGATGTGACTGATCTGGGGAAGGAGATGCACACATGAAGGCCAAAAATACCAAAACTTACATGTCTTCATTTTGTTTGCTTAACATTATCAGACATTTTGCACATTCTTCATGAGAACAAATCAGAATTCCAGGTACTCCAAGACATCTGGCACTAAGACAGTGTCCATTAGTCACATGCTTCCTTAATGCATTAAAATATAAAGGATGATTCAAAATAAGGAAGAAGCTTCATCTTCAGAACTAATTTCCCTGTATTTTAACAGAGATGTCTATAAATTAATATGGCATCACCCTGCAATTCATGCTTGTGTGCAGATGGAATGCAGAAAGTGCCAACATCATGACAACTGAAATCCACTTTATGTGGCTTCAAAAAATGGCATCAGTTGACAGGAAAAGAGAATAAAGTGCTAAAACCAAGGCAGCTCATTTTCTTTGTGATAAAAATATGGAAATGCTCAAGGATATATGAAATACCAGATCCTTAAATGGAAATATTTATGACACAAGCACTAATGATGTCATCCTGCTCACATGAAACATCAAGAACATTTTAAACCAAGAGAAATCAGCACATTTTAACAAGTTCAGGTCCCAAGAGTTTCACACTCTTTAGATACCCCGATCCAAAATACATCAGTGAACAGAAAGCTTCCAAAGGCTTCAGCTGGCAATACACCCATCCTCCCTGTGCACAGATACTTTTATTACATTCATTTTGACATCCCATACTAGGAGGCAGAGAAATCTCCAGGGGTTTGTGATAAAGAAGGGACTTGAACCCAAGCCACCAATGCCTTAAACAAGGACCCTGATGACTAGATTATATTTCCTCTTGCATTGCTTTATATATTACAATGAATCAAGAAAAACCTCTCCCAATAGACAAATATCAATGTAGAAGGTCTACTGTACAATGGGATTATAACCCTGGTAATTTAATTTTGATTATTAGAGGGTAATTTTACTTTTCAATTCAATAAAGTATTTGGAAAAAGACCACAAATCGATAGTTTTTACAGTAGGAGTGTATGAGATGTAGTCTTAAAAGAGCTTTATTGTTGTTGTTTCATTATTTTAACAATCTGCATTTAGTTACTGAGTTGTGGATTATTTAAAGTAGTGCTTGGGAAAATCATGAGGAAAATGAACTCAAACTTGGCATGTATAAGAGGAAGTGCTAAACTTCAGAGGAAGGACTGAGAGAACTAACACAGAGAGCTTGGCTAGGGGAACTCCACAAATGATAACCCACAAAAAGAGGAATTACTTAGAACAGAAGACAGCAAAACTAGGAACTAACTGTAGGTTAAATTAAAGAAGGGAAGTACTAGAATGAGTATCCTGAAAGTGATTTTGTTTGGCAAAGTCTATAGCAAAAGGGGATCTTAAACAGTTCAAACTTCAAGAAAGAAGCAACTCATAACTGCCCATCTCCCTGTTCAGGTCAATGATAGTGAAGCAGATCTAAGGACCAAAACAGTCTTTCCTACCTCTAACTTTGATGGAAAGATTCAGATTGAACAGTGATTGCCAGTTCAGCCCCATGACCAAAGAGAGTGTTTTCCTTTTTCTTGACAAACACTTCCTTCAGTCCTGAAGTGTAGGTTGTGCCACATCCACCCTCCTTCAGTGGGATGATCTAACCCATCCCAGATCTGAAATTCCGCTTTCATGTTTCATTACAGACAAGGAAAAGCTCCAGTCCTCAGTCTCTCCTCCTTCTTGAAAATCAGATTATAATCACCTTCAGATAGCTGTATTACAGGAACTAATGAAGCAAAACACTTCATTCTTTAATCACCAAATTTCTCCCTGCTAACCACTTACAGGCGCGTTCTGCCACAGCCACCCTGGCCCTGCACTCCGGCACACGTGTGGCTCTGCAGATGGGCAGTTTACTAGCTTACAATGTTTGCCTGCAGCTGTGCCATTCAGCAGTGATTTCCTGCTTGGGTTTTATACTCCATCCAAAACCGACAATCCTGTGTTTCCCTCAGAGGCTGGCCATGGCATTTATAAGATATATTACCTATAAAATATCCAAGTATTTGGCAGTCTTAAATAGTCTGATGCAGAGGACAACACAACACAGTAGGAAATGAAAGCAGCAGAAAGGGGAAAAGACAAAGTTTTGCCTGGTTTTTGATGGTTTAATCTTTCTTGGCCAAACTCCTGAAGCTTTCCTGCAATTCTCTGAAGCGCTAGCCACATTCCTACAGCAAAGGTGGAGTAAATCTCTGGGTCATCCATGAGTTGTGGCTCAGAAACACATCCTTCTTACTGGAAAAGGAAAACCAGGAAGGTTTGCCTTTGCTTGCTGTTTAAGCAATTTATATGCAACATCAGAGGAATTTGCCTTTGGAAAGTATTAAAAAAGAAAAAATGTGGTTAGGCACTTGGTGACAAAAATTTGGGAATTTCTGGTGACAGATCTTGCAAACGTGGATATACGAAGTGAGAGCGTGAGAATATAATCTGACTGTCAACAGCGGGGGAAACCAAACATCTGGCTGGGACTAGGGACGGAATTTAAATCAAAGGAGCCATAGGACTGAAGACCCTTCATCAAGAGAGAAAAAAAATCAGCAGGAGTTTGGAAGAACCAACTGGCCTGTAACCTAGATTCAGGAGAAAACAAACCAGAAAGGTTTCTAGTTTAGTGTGTTAAAAATTCTTACAATCAAATCCTCAACTACATGTGCCTACATTAAGAAGAAATAAATGTAAGATTGTATATGCTGAAGAAAGCCTTTTTTTATTCTCTTCAGGTTTTAAAACTTGGCATCCCCCTGGTTTCTAAGCTTGTTATTTTCTTTAGCACTACGAAGTAAGAATGAAATACCCACTGAGACCAACATAAGGAAAAATCTACTGTACTCAGGAGAAAGAAGGTGGAGGGGTAGCTGGAAGGAGGGGAGGACACACAGAATTTTGGCAGAAATCCAACTCTAAGCCAACTCAGAGTAACCATACTTTGGTACCTCACAGCAAAATCCAGACAGTGGAGAGGATAAAAATCCTGCTTTTGAGAAACATTTACCAAAACAAACATGCTTTCATGAATTCTAGCCCAAGTGATGAGCCTTTTTCATGATCTTTCATTGCCTAAGATTTGATTTTTGAAGTTATACGTCTCTTTACACCTTGACAGCAAGCAGTAGGTTTTCAATTAAACCACGAAGGATTGAGAGTTATGCTTATGTTATGTCATTACACTGCTGTTTGAAAAGAGAAATTTGGGGACTAATCCCTGAAGTACCTTGTGTGGCATCAGTACTGTGAGAACAACAGATCACAGCAATCTTGAAAGGGGTTGATACTGATCATGTTTTAAGCATGTAAAAAGAAGAAACGTCTCTGGGACGAAATCTGCCATCCACACAGAAGGTCACAACAAAATGGGATGTTGGAAAAGGAAGTGCATACATGGGGAGAATGGGGCAGTTGAAATTCATGGTGCATGTGCAAGGAACAGCTGGGAATGCAAGAGAAGATGAAATTCTTAAAAGCGAAAGAATTCTCTGGAAAAGTTTATATTAGATGTACCTAGGAGCTCAGGGCACACACCAGTCATCTGCAGTCAGCTCTGCAGACTCAGACCTCAGCATTGCAAACCTAAGATACTCAAGGTTCATTTTATTTAAGATCTAAAATGTTACGGTACAAAAATGGATACTTGGTCAGACAACTGTAATTTTACCAAGTACTGTCATTACCAGAGAGACATAAGTATCATACCTTTAGAGTCCCTTTATCCCTCGTCCTTGTGCACTACAATGTCTTCCCAGTGTTCCTGGGATTTTTGTGAGGCAGCGATAAGGTTCATGCTATACGAAAAACTTAATTGTGAAGAACATGAGGTAAAAAGACCCCAGATCCTTACGTTTCATATTTAAACACAGCTACACAGAAGTTTTTGAGTAGTTTTAACCACAAATAAAATTAGAACAGTCTGTGATATGGCGGAATTAACTTTGTATCTTTGTATATTGTATTACATTACATACATTATGGCCCACAGAGGGCCAACTTTTACTTGTTGCTGAAATGCAACTGCCTTTGGGATGAAGAGAAGCTTATTGAAACTTCAGCAAGAAATGAAGAACAATGGAGCCAGTTGAAACACAAGAATAGTTTTGAGGAAAAGACTAAATGTTGACCACTTAAATTTAAAAAAACTATGTATTTCGCAATTATGATCCAAGGGGCTGTGAATTCTGCTCTTCGACATAAGTATTGCTGGAGCCTGTCTTTCATATGTCACAGAAAATAATGGTTCTGACCAACGCTGGTAAAGAAAAAATCTCATCGAATATTTTATTATAATAGTCTATTTAAGTCTAAGTTTAGGCAATCTTGCAAAAGTCTAGGTACCAGGAGGTGCTGTTTGGCTTGACCTTTAGGAATGCGAGCATCCACAGCTTTTATTCCCTGCAGCTAGTTCTCACCAGCTTCAGACACCCTGAACACAACTGTCAGTTCCATTTACCGGCTGTCTTTCATTTTCCATGTTTAATGTTAAACACCATAAAACGGTATTAATGAGTATTAGCATTTTAATATCCTCCCTGTTTTATTAATCTGTGATGAAGCATGAAATCTACCACTGCTGTCAGCACCCACCTGTGAAATCTGCTGTTACTCTCCATGGGCTAGTTGCAGGGGGTCTCCCTTGCTATCATCATTAGCACAATCAGCTACATCTACAGGTGCAGATAGTGTTTGTGATTTCCCCACTACAAACAAGCTGATTATTAGGCCTTTTATAACCTACTTTTACCTTTTTTTTTTTTTACCCCTAACAGGCTAATGTTAGCTCTTGTACAACTATGCAAGTATACAGTGGGTTGGGTTCTGATCTTAGCTCCATGGCCTTCAACAGAGATTCTTCAGATCACATCAAAAGGAAAACATGAGGCTGTATTTCAGACTGGTGCACATAATTAATGTTAGAAATGTATACATAAATACAACTAAACAAATCCTAAGGCACTTACAGTTTTGGCCA